GGACCCGGTGGCTTAAAACTCACGCCGGGCGCGTGTGCGTGCGTGCCCAAGATCCCGAGAGGAGAATGGAGGAGAAGGGATTGCGGCGTGACCATCCCCCCTGGGGGGTGATTTCTCGCTTTCTGTCTCTATGTCTCTCTCTGTCTGTCTGGCGAGCGCACGCGCCCTACAGTGAAAATCTCTCCAAAAAAAAAAAAACACACAACCGAACCAGAAAGCCTCAACCTGCAGGAGGGAGAGACGGCCGAGAGAGGCAGGGGCGAGGGCAAGGGGAGAACCAGCAGGCAGGCAGGCTCTGGACCAGGGAACCCTTAGGCTCCACAGGGACGGTGTTTTATGAGTTTCCTAAACTTGCCGCCATGACCCGAAGTGCGTCCTTTGGGTGAACTGGCTCCTGTATGACACACAGACCTGTTTCTCCAGCTGTGGGGCCTAAAGGAAGAGGGAGGAAAAGCATTGGCTGCCCGGCCTTGGTCTGTGACTCAGAACTGAGCCTTGGAAGGGAGGGAGAGGACTGGCCGCTGCCCCACCTGGATGACCGAGGAGGAGGCGCCCAGAGGGGTGTCCCTCAGAGCTGGGTAGGAAACAAAACCCAGCCGACAGGGGTGAGTGGCAGCCACAGCCCATGGGAGGAGAGCTGGATGCACATCAGACCTGCCCAGCTCGTTTGGGGAGCGGTCTCTATGCACAGAACCAGCCGCTGTACCACGGAGAGGACTTGCACCCATCACCCTGCTCAGCGCCTCGCTGCCCCCATCCCCTTTACAAATCAGAGAGACACATGGAAGCTTCTCCCCACCTGCCCCCACCCGGTCAGTCACTCCTTTTCTCATCTAAGTATTTATTTATTTATTTATTTTAATTTGACCAGAGAGGGACAGAAAGAGAGAGAGAAAAGGAAAGTGAGAAAAGCCGTCAGGTCTGGGACTCAAACCCGGTCAGCCATGTGGGAATCCAGCGCTCTTAACCACCACGCCACCTGCCAACCCTTCTTTTTTTTTTTTTTTACCGTATTTATTTATTCAGAGAGAGAGAGAGCAAGAGAGACCCCTCCACAGGGTATTTCTGCCACAGGCCACCCCTGGACCGCATGCCTTCCTAGAGTGCACCGGGAGAGGTCCGGGATGAGAACCCAAGACCGACCCTGTATAGGTCCGGGTGTATGAGTATCGCGCTACTGCCTGGCCCAGCCACTCCTTATGTGGGAAAGGACAACCTGCTCTGAAGAAGGCCTTGTATCCAAACCACCCTGCGTAAGACGGTCACCCAGGTGCGGTCTGCGCAGACTGTGGGGTACCGCGCCGGGGCGGGGGAGGGCAGGAGGCAAGCACGTGCTCACACAGGAGGTGGCCAGGAGGGCATCTTTGGGAGGTGGAAAGAGGCAACTGCAGTGTAATACATAAAGCATGATCTATTTATGTTGTTGTCGTTTTAAGAAAACATAGAGATCTTCAAAATGTTTATGGAAGCTGCATATCATGAACATTTTTCTTTTTACTTTTTCCATCAAGCTAAACTCATAGGGTTGGTTAAGGGAACCAGATCCCACGTGACCAGCTGTGATTTACAACCTAGGCCTGGTGGATTCCCACATGGTCAACTGCAGTTCAAGTCCCAAACCCGGTGGCTTGAAAGGTCACACCGGGCACGTCTGTGTGTGTGCCCAAGATCCCAGGAGGAGAATGGAGGAGACGAGATTGTGGAGTGACCATCCCCCCTGGGGGGTGATTTCTCACTTTCCCTTTCACTGTCTCTAGCTCTCTTTCAGGCAGGTACACACACCCAGTGGCATAAACCTCTAAAAAAGAAAGAGAAAGAAAAGAGAAAGAAAGAAAGAAAACCACGCTGGGTATGTGCATGCCCGAACAGGATGGAGAAACAGAAAAGGGACTGCGGAGCGACTGTGCCTTGTGGGGGGGCTCTTGCCCTCTCCCTCCCTCTCTGTCTCTCTCTCTGGCAAGTATATGTGCCCTCCAGAATTAAAGGAAAAAAGGAAGGAAGGAAAGGAAGGAAGCTATTTCGGTTCCATCTTTTCCTTGAATGTTTTGAAGTTCTCTGTATATACTTTTTTTTCCCAAATTTCCCCGAAAGGGGAATTTTATTGATTACTTTATTCCCTTACAAACAGACCAACTGTAATCAAATGAGGTGAACATTCACCTCAGGATTTTGCCATCTTCATAATAGAAAAGACGAGGCTTAGAACGGGATCACTTGACCCTTTCTCTTATCTCCTCCCAGTTCGCAATGCTTACATCTCTTGATAGCCGGCATTCTCTCAGATCTGCAGTTGGGCTCAACACATTCAAGCCTCAGCACAATCTTCTTTGTAGTTTTTGCCTTTTTCCGGAAAATAGGCTCAGTCTGTCCACCACAGCCGCTCTGCTTCCTGTCATAACGCCGCCTTCCCTGAGCACACAGAGAACCCTGCCCTTTTTGTACTGTGTCACTTTATGAGGTCGGTGCTTGCCACACTTCTTACAGAAGGTCCGCAGGTTTTAGGGACGTTCACCGTCACGACGGTGGGAAAAGATTAAGCTGGGTGTTACTCGGTCATCATACCATGCTGACGAGAAGTTCTCTGTACATTTATAAACGCGTAGATAAACAAACACGTGGAGGGCCCAGCAGATGTCATGGACGTTCAGGCCGGTGAGTCCTGCAGCAGTGCGGTGGGGCAGCAGGGCCGGGCACAGGGGCTAAAAGAATTTACCGGAGACAAATGTGAGCGTGAGCAGAAGTTGCGTGTACTAGCACTCAGGCACGGGGACAGTACCCCGGAGAAACCAGGCAAGGGTACCCTGGGAGACCTGAGCATGTTCGTAGGTCCCCACCTCTTGGTGGGGAGGGTCTCCTTTTTACGGTCTCAATCGCGTGGTGATCGTGTCTCCTCAGTTGGAGGATCTCTCCCTGTTGTCAAAGCTCATTTGGAGGCTTATTTTGGGCCCTAGCGGCTAGTTTGCCTTTGTCCTTAGGTAAGGTCATCATAGGCTCTTTATGAACTCCTGCTTGCCCACCTTCTTACAAACCCTTCACAAGTCCCAGACCTGAAGGCTTGAAAAACACGAGTCCCAAATCCCGAGAGGAGAATGGAGAAGGGATTTGGCATGGCTGTCTCCCCAGAGGGTCATTTCTCAGTTTCTTTGTCTCTCTGTCGCTGTCTATCTCTGGTGAGCAACCGTGCCCCATAGCAAAAATTAAAATAAATAAATGAACAAACCCCTGGAGGGACAGAAGCCACACTTTTCACAGTGTTTCTCCCTGGGGACAGGCGCGAGTGGGTGAGGGAGCGATGGGGTGGAGAGGAGGAGGCATCACTTTTTCCTTCAACGGTGGACATAGAATATATTGTAGAACTTCTTGTTAAAAAGCCCACCGAGGGACCAGCAGTTGGCATAATGACTGTGTCGCTGGACTCCCATGGAGTCGACTATGGTTCAAGTCCTGGCCCTGTCAGCTTAAACTCATGCTGAGTGCATGTGCGTGCATGCCCAAGATCCCGAGAGGAGAATGGAGGAGAAGGGATTGCGGCGTGGCCATCTGCCCTGGGGGGTGATTTCTCACTTTCTGTCTCTCTGTCTTGCTCTGTCTTTCTGGAGAGCACACGCGCCCTATAGCAAAAGTCTTTCCAAAAAAACCCCAAAAATCCCATCGAGGGCAAGCGTGCCGACTCCAGCCTGCTGGTGCGTGACGGCCCCTGCTGTCCCTGGGAACTGCCGGCTGTGGGCAGGAGACCTTGGGTCTCAGAGCTCCCCATTTCTGAGAGCTTCATTTGTCTTTTCACTCCCCCCCCCACCCCTAAGATGGGCCAACCTCGAGGAAACAGGGCTAGAGTCACAGCTGCACAGAGACGCTGAGGCACAGCGCCATGGTGGCTGTCCCCAGGAGGCCTGCCGGCAACGCCATCACTCTTTGCCTGCTTGGGCTGCCTCAGGCCGTCATGTTGTCACCCCCTTGCCTGAGGTTCCCTTGCCACTGGGAGGAACTGACTGCCTGACACTGGGCACTTCCGAAGTTCGGCCTCGGATGTTTTCTTCTGTACCGTGGCTTTCACAAAGACGGCCGTGTGCTGGGTCAGCACTGCACCTGTTTCCCACAGCCACCCCCCTCTCCCCGGTCCCAGGTTGGACACAACAGACGGACATTCAACAGGACAGCTTGGCGAGGCCTCAGACTACAGCATGAACTCGCATCTGGGTAAGCATCTCCTTTCTGCTGTTTCCCCGCTGTGCAACTTCAGACAAGTTTCTTGGCCTCTCTGCTGTTTCCTTGTCTATGCAATGATGACAGTGATTCCTCTCCCATGAGGCTGTTCGGCCAAGACAACATAATGTACACTGCGTGTCCTTTGCTGTGCCTGGCATGACATGAACTTCAAGGTGTGAACGCTTGTAATGGCATTAATAGAGGCCAGGGATCCCCCCCCCCAGGGGTCATCACTGTCACCCAAGTGTGTGCCCTGTCACACGCCTTCACTCTCATAGGGACTTTGCTCCCTATTTGGAGTTTCCACTAGGGGCCGCTGTGGCTGTCCACCCACATCGGGGTCCTCACTCATTTCCTGGAGGTCGCCCTCCAGGTCAAAGGCCATTTCTGCCCCTTCTCCTCCCAGGAGTGGACGTTCCCATCTGGTCACCGCAGCAGCCAACACGTGCATCCTCGTGAGCCACGAGTCTGAAGGCCGCCCTGGTGTGAGTTCACTGCTGAGCCTGAACTCTTCTGGGAAGTCGTGGCTTTGAACCATGCATCCAAGAGGGTCTCAGAGTTCTGACCACAAATAAAGCCTGTGAGCCCCAGGGAAACCCAGGCCTGCCGCCTCCGTGGTGCCCACCGGACTGTCAGGGAGCGCCCTGCTGTGGCAGGGGTGGGCCAGGCAATACCAGGGCCTTGCCAGGCCATAGTCACTGGGCTCATGGGTCCTGAGGGCTTTGCGCCAAGTGTCCTCTCAGGCGTGTGACGATGGACGGGGCCCGCCAGCTCGGTCCTGCCGGGGTCAGGCCTGGTTCCGAGTCCTGAGTGGTTAAGCCCAGAGGGCTCTGGTTTGCCTCGGTGGGAGCCTCTGGCCGCCTGCATTGGCACAGTCAGCTGAGAGGGGCTGGGGGCTCTAGCCCACCCCACAAGGGGTCTATTGGCCTGAGTCCCGGCCCTGGAAAGTAGGAGATATTAGTACGACTCCCTTACCCGCTCCTCACCCCTCCGCTGCCCCACCACGCCCATTCCCCATAACCAGGCGTGGGAGCCCCTCCTGCCCCGCGCACCCTGACTTCCAGTTGGGGACCGGCTTTGTTACAAGCCTCTTTCCTCCTTCACAAGCTGGGTGGATGGCTGGCTGCTAACTACAGAAATAATTGGACACAGTGTAGCTCACCTAAGTGCCTATCAGTTGTTCTTTTTTTTTCTTTCTTTCAAGGTTTTTGCCATAGGGCATGTGGGCTCACCAGGGAGAGAGGGAGGCAGAGACAATGAGAGGGAAAGTGAGAAGTCAACCCCCGGGGGGATGGCCACACGGCAATCCCTTCTCCATTCTCCTCCTGGGATCTTGGGCATGCCCGCACACATGCCCGGCGTGATTTTCAAGCCACTGGGTCCAGGACTTGAACTGTGGTCAGCCACAAGGAAGTCCCGTGATGTGCCACTATGCCATCTGCTGGGCCCTGTACTTTCTAAGTGGAAACATGTTACCACTGTGAATGGAAAAGCAGGATCACTTGTCTATAGAACGAAGCTCTCAAAACAGATCCCATGAAGACCAAGCAGCAGGTTACATTCTAGAAGATTCTGTGGCCAACCTAGGATCTCTGTAGGGCCCTGAGAGAGTGTGATGTGTCCCCGGCAACAGACAGCATGAGAATGGAGGCCCATTGGCCCTCAGGGTGGTGTGGCCTCAGCCCCTTCTGCCATAGCCATTATGCCATCTGCTGGTCCCTTTTATTTTTATTTTTTAAAATTTGACTGGAGAGAGACAGAGAGGGAGAGTGAGAAAGCAAGCCTCCAGGTCCGGGACTCGAGCTGTAGTTGACCATGCAGGAGTCCAGCGCCTCCACCACCACACCGCCTGCTGGCCTCTTCTCATGGTTTCTCACTGCTGCTGCCCTCGTACTAAGGAACGCAGCTTCAGAGTAACTTCCGGTGTCCCTTTTTCCATTCCTCTGTTCCTGTGTCGACGCCTCCTCCCCGTTTTGACGGTCTCCGTGTCACCGGGTTGTTCCTGTGTTGGAGAGCAGGGTGGAGTCTGCTGCGTGGTCTCCAAATACCTTGCAACCCCGGCCCCAGAGCCCACGAGTTGGAGGCAGGAGAGAAGGTGCTTGGCTCCCTGTTCTGGGTTCTGTCCATCAGGCACCCAAGAAAGAAAAGTGACGACTCAGGCTTGCTATCATCCTTGGCCTGACAAAGTCTTCCGCACAAAGCAGAGGCCTCCTGAGAAGCAGGGCCAGAACCTGTGGGGTGCCCCTCTCGGGGGGAGAAAGGGCAGTGGGAAGGGGAAAGCGAAGCCGTGGGCCCTTCTCTGCTGCTCGCACACCGACCTGCTGGATTCCCCTTCATCAGCTCTTCATCCGATCCCCTGGCACCCCCAGGTCTCCCTCTCTGTCCATTCTGTCCCCTCCCCCAAGCCCCCTTGTCCTGTTCCAGCCTTGATGCCCCTCCCATGCCGTGGCCACTGTGTAACCCCTTATTCGTCTGGGGTTGTTCTCGAGCATCGCTCAGGGCTCGTCATGCCTGTGCTGGAACCCCTTGGTGCCCCTCCCCTCTGAGGCACATTCCACCCGTGCCCTGCAGTTCAGAGTCCTGCCCCCCCAGCCCCGCCTGCACTCCACAGAGGAAGTCCGTTCCCAGAGGGCCTTGGCACTCTGCTCCCTCCACCTGGAGCACCTCTTCCTGAGGACCCAGCGTGTGACGTCCCCGTGGAGGGTCCTTCCTGACCAGCCCCCTTCCTCCCCACATACTCCATGCCGCCCCCCTCATTATTCCCCTCATGGTGCTTCCCTCAAAGGAAAATGATCTATTTCTCCTCGTTTGATGAGTGCTTGCTTTCCTGCCATGCCTCCCTAGTTCCCTGCCTCTCTTCCAAGCTTGGAGCACTGTCTGGCCCACAGAAGGGCCTCAATAAACAGTTACTGAGTGAGTGACTCTCCAGGGGTAATATGTGACACCCTTCGCTAACCCAGAAGCCAGCCTCCTTCCTGGGCCTCGAGGGAACCGTCTAGGAGGGAACATCAACCTGGAAGTCGCTTGGTCCTGGCTCTCTCTGGGAAAGCTCTCGTACCCTGGGATGGAAACTGGCCCCGGGGGCCGCAGCTATCTCAAGCCTGGTTTGTGACCCATGCTGTTCACAAGGCTGTCCCTACTTTTAATGCTCTCTGGTGGGGCCAGTAGGTGGCATGATGGTTAAGGCGCTGGACTCCCACTTGGTCGACCACAGTTCAAGTCCCGGACCTGGTGACTGAGAGCTCACTCTCCCCCCAGCCACCACCCTAGGTTCCACTGCTGCGGGAGGCTGCCTCAGTGGCTGCTGAGCTGGTACCTTGTCCCTGAGCCTCAGTCCCCTCGTCTGTAATGTGGGGTCATAGGACCTGAGGGGGAGGGGTCTGGTGCTTGGTACAGAACAGTTCTTTTCTTTGTTTTTGGAGAGATTTTTGCTATAGAGCTTGTATGCTTGCCAGAGAGGCAGAGAGACAGAAAGTGAGAAATCACCCCCCAGGGGGATGGCCACGCCACAATTCCTTCTCCTCCATCCTCCTTTCAGGATTTTGGGCACGCATGTACACATGCCTGGCGTGAGTTTTAAGTCGCTGGGCCCGGGACTCGAAACTGCAGTCGACTACGTGGAAGTCCAGCAACATAACCAAACACCATCTGCTGGCTCCAGAACAGCTCCTGACTACTGATGCTGCCCCTCCGCAGGACTCCCGCCCCATCAGGGGCTTCCTTTAGGGATAACCTCCATGGCCAGGAGGAAAGGAGAGGTGTTGTGAAGGCGTCATAGGGCCAGGCCCGAGGCCATCAACAAAGTCTCGGATGAGCCCATGCCCTCCTCTCCCCCACCACAGCGCCCAGGACACCCTCGTGGCCCCCAGTGCTGGAGCGAGAGGTACAGGGGTGCTGCTTCCACACAGGGCTGTGCACACGTGGGGTAGGGCCAGCGTTTACGGCCTGCTGAGAAACCCTGGAATGTAATCTGGGCTTTTATCGCTCTGCAGCCACAACAGGGCAGGCCACCGCCGGCCCACGCTGGGCTACAGCCGGCCCCTGGGCGCTTGGAGGCTCTGGCCACCACAGACTGGGCGGGGCGTGAGCAACAGCGCACTGACTGGGGAGGGAAGGCCACCTCCACGCCCGCCCGCTGCTCCGCAGCCCAGCAGCACAGACAGCCTGTCCAATGGCCTCTTGGAGGCAGGGGGCCCAAAGGGGCCTGGGGAAGGCTTGCTGGGCTCTGCCCACACAGTGAGTTCCAGCCCACCCCTGTCACCGGGAAGCTGTGGCGAGTGATTTCACGCCCTGGAGCCCCAGGCTGGTCTGTGAAGGGCATCCTGGGGCCACTGCATATGGCTGTGAGCCCTCTGAATGAAGGGCTCACACAGCAGCTTCAGGCATCAGCTGGATCGGGAGCAGCCTCCTATCTGCGCTCTTCTCCACAGAATCTGTCCTACCCTGCATCCGTGCCCCTGGGCCGTCCCCGAGTTCTGGCCCAGCACACCACTTCCTCTGCTCCAAGTCCTCCTCCTCCTGCGGGCACCTCCCGGCCGGCCAGCTGTGGGAGCCTCCACACAGATCCAAGCCTCATCTGAGACCTGGCTTTGCAGCAGCGGGAGCCGAGGCATCCGGGCAGGTGGGAGAGGACTATATTCTGAATGGGAGAAACCCTCGGGTGACCCCTGCCTCATGGCCTCCTGGTGTGATCTTCTGCACCTGCTCCTGCACGCATGCATACATTCCTTTGTAATCATGCTCTCCCCTCTGCTGGGCACCCTCACCCCGTGCTTGTCTTCCACGAGGCCTTCAGCTGGCAAGGGGCTGAGCTGCGTTCCCCAAGCTCATACGTTGAAGCACGAACTCAGTGAGATGGTATTTATGGGTGGAGTCTTTGGAGGGAGATTAGGTATAGATGATCATAAGGAGGAGGCCCCCAGTACCTTTATTTATTTATTTATTTATTTATTTATTTATTTATTTATTTTTCCATATGGGGTGTGTGTGCGCGCCAGAGAGAATTAGAGAGAGGGAAACGAGAAATCACCTCTCCAGGGGAGATGGCCATTCCACAATCCCTTCTCCTCCATTCTCCTGTTGGGATTTTGGACACACATGCACATGTGCCTGGTATACTTTTCAGGCCGCTGGGTCTGGGACTTGAACCCATACAATTGGCCATGTGGGATCCAGTGCCTAACCACGAAGCTACCTGCTAGCCTGAGATGGGTGCCTTTTTGTCTGCCTGTCTGTCTGTTATAGGACACATACACTTGCCAGAGAGAGAAGGAGAGAGGGAAAGCGAGAAATCCCGCTTGCCTTCAGGGATAATGGCCACACGACAACCCTTCTCTGTTTCCCTCTCGGCACTTGGGACACGCACACACATGCACCCAGCTCGACTCTTAAGCTGCTAGGTTCAGGACTGAAGCGCAGGTTGGCCGTGTGGGATCCAGCTGCCTTACCCCCATGCCATCTGGTGACCCTTCTGCTCTTTTAAGAAGCGAAAGCCATCAGAGCTTCCTTTCTTTGCACGATGCGAGGACTCAGCAAGAAGGTGGCCCTCTGCAAGCTAGGAAACGAGCCCTCACCAAGAACCGAATTGGCTGGCACCCTGACCCAGGTCACCAGGCCGTGAGAAATCAACATCCGTGCCTTAAGCCCCCCAGTTCACGGCGTTTCGCTGACAGCCTGCGGTGCCTGACACACGGGAGGGAACCCACGTGCTTTGATGTCTGTCTGCTGTAAACAAAACGA